TACTCCTACTACGACGACGGCTACTACTACTACTACTACTACTACTACTACGATTGGTTTCTACGACGACCACTACTACTACTACTACTACTACTACTACTACTGCTGATATTGCTACTACTACTGCGAGTGCTACTACTACTACTACTACTACTATTATTATTCCTTCTACTACAAGTACTACTAATAGTACTACTACTACTACCACTACTACTACTACTACTGGTAACACTACTACTTCTACTTCTACTGCCACTGCTTCTGCTACTACTACTACTACTACTACTACAACTACTACTACTGCTGCTACCACTACTACGACTACGTCTTCATTATTTCTACGACAACTAGTATTACTACTACTACTACTACTACTACTACTACTATTACTACTACTACTACTACTACTACTACTACTTCTACTACTACTACTACTACTACTACTACTACTACTATTACTATTTCTACTACTACTACTACTACTACTACTACTACTGTTGCCGCCCTTCCTCTTTTCCTCCTCCTCCTCCTGCTCCTCATCCTCCTCCTCTCTCCTCCTCTCCGTCATCCTTCTCCTCCTTCTCCTCCTCGCCCCTCCTCCTCCTCCTCCTCCTGCCCCTTCTCCGCCTTCTCCCCATCTTCCGTTCCATCCTCCTCCTCCACCTCCTCCTCCGCCTTCCTCCCCCTTCTGCTCATCCTCATCCTTCTCCTCCTTTTTCCCCCTCCTCCCCCACAATTCCTTTTCCTTATACATAACTCTTCCTTGTCGCGCCCCGAGGCCTGCGTTTAGGGTGGGCCAAGCGTTTCGCGTGAGTTTTCCTCATCATTCATGATTCCGAAGCTCACGCAATGACAACAGCTTCATAAATTCAGGGCCGGCGGTCGTTTTCAAAATGTGGCTCTCGCCTCAACGCCGCGCACATTCGTTTTAAAGGCTTGCAAGAGTTTCGCGGGGGCGGGTGTTTTTCAACATGCGGCTCTCGCTTTAGCGCCGCGCACGTTCGTTTTCAATAGGCGGTTGTCGCCTTAGCGCCGCGCACATTCGATTCGAATAATTTGCCAGGGGTTTACGGATTCAGGGCGGTTGGTTTTCAACATGTGGTTGTCGTTTTACCGCCGCACACACTCGTTTCACACATGTTCAATGTCTTCGCGGGCTGAGGGCGGGCGGTTTTTCAAAATGCGCCTGTCTCCTTAGCCCTTAGCGCCGCGCACTTTCTTTTTAATCATTTGCATGAGCTTCACGGATTGAAGGCGGGTGGTTTTAAACATGTGGTTCTCGCGCTCGTTTTAAGCAGTGGCCAGAGCTTCACCGATTGCGGGTGGGTGGTTTTCAACATGTGGCTTTCGCAGTAGCGCCGCGCATTCTCGCGTTTTTTATTGTTGCGAGAATTTCACGGGTTGGGGGCGGGTGGTTTTCAACATGTGGTTCTCGCATGCGCGCTTCGCACGTTTGTCTTAAACATTTGAAAGGGCCGCGCGGGTGGTTTTCAAAGTGTGGTTATCTCTTGAGGGCCGCGCACATTCGTCCTACAAATTTGCAAGAGTTTTGCGGATTGAGGGCGGGTGGTCTTCAAAACGTGGTTCTCGCTTCAGCGCCGCGTACATTCGTTCTAGAAGCTTGTCATAGTTTCACAGGTTGATGGCGGCTCTTTTTTCAATTGTGGCTCTCGCTTCAACGCCGCGCATATTTGATTTCAAACATCTGCCAGGGCTTTACGGATTGAGGGCGGGTGGTTTCCAAAATGTGGCTCTCGCTACAGCAGCGCGCACATTCGCCTTACATGTTTGCAAGCGCTTCACGAATTGAAGGCGGGTGGTTTCCAACATGTGGTTGTCCCGTTAATGCCGCGCACATTAATTTTACATGCTTGCCAGAGCTTCACGGACTGAGGGTGGCTGGTTTTCAAAATGTGGTTGTTGCCTTAGCGCCGCGCGCATTCGTTTGACAGGGTTGCAAGAGATACGCGGGTTGAAGGCAGCTGGTTTTCAAAATATGGTTGTCGCCTTAGCGCCGCGCACATTCGTTCTACATTTTGCAAGAGCTTCATGGACTGAAGGCGGGTGTTGTTGAAACTGTGGTTGTCGCCTTAGCGCCGCGCTCATTCGTTTCGAAGAGATCGCCAGAGCCCTCCTGATTGAGGGCGGGTGGTTTTCACAATGTGTTTCTCTCGCATTAGCGCCGCGCGCATTTGCTTAAACATTTACAAGAGTTGCACGGCTTCAGGGCGGGTTCCACGTTCTACATCTGCCTTCGCTGCCTCGCTCTGTAAAGACTTCGCAGCCAGCATCGCGTGTTCCATGGGGACAGCAATTTGCTGAGGCATCGCGTCGACGGCGAGCCAAGCCCCGCCGCCCAGCTGGCGGGCGGCGTGGAAAAAACTTGGAAGTTTAAATAGCTGGCGCCCAGTTACCTCTGCTTGTCGTTTTTCTACATCTCTACGTCGCTGACACCCGCCGCCGCGCCCAAGCGCTCACGCGCCGCTCGACGGGCATCGGCGGGCGCCGCCATGCACGCGACACGCGCGAAAAGCGGGAGGCACGAGGAGTCCGTCTAAGCAGATTCGCCGACGTCTGGGCACAACCCATCTTTGAACCCTTATTATGAATTGTCAATTCGTTTCCCAAGTTTCCTTGCCGAGTTGTTCGTTGGTTCCTTAATGGCTGTCCTCTCCTGTGCTTCCTCTTGGGCTCTCCCCTGGGCATCCTCGCGGGCTGCTCTATGTTTTTTCCTGCTGCACCCCTTTGACCGCGTCACGCTGGAAAGCGAGCCTAGCATCGACAACTGGGCGGTGCATTCTTCTTTTTCTCGGATCCCCAAAGTTGTTCCTAACCCGAATCAGAAGATGAAGAGTCGCTGTCCAAGGACCGCGACTCAGACATCGACGACGACCGCGAGGAAGAGGACGAGGAAGACGACTTCTTCGAGGCCTTGGCCCCCGTCCTGCTCCTCCGCTGTGGTCTCTTGCTTTTCTTGTCCTCTTCCGCCGACGTAGACGCCCGAGTCGAGATCAGCGGGGGCGGCGCCCGCTCGCCGCGCAAGCGCCTCCCCGCCCCCGGATGCTTCCAGCAGTTGTTGGGCATCCTCTGTTCCCTGGTCCTGGTCTTCGCTTGTGGCTCCGGCGGCTTCTCCATGGGAGGCGCGCGGGGCACAGCTATCCAGCGACGGCGGCATGGAGAGCTTGAGCCTGGAGAAAGCAACGGACATGCGATGATAAGTGTGATGACGCGTACCGTATTCAGGTGCTGCCGATGCCGATGACGAGCATCACTCTCAGTATGCTGCCGATGGGAACGGTGGTGACCAGAATGTGTTTCAAGGCAGTGCCGATGACGATGGTGATGACGAGTATGGTAATCAGGAGGCTAACGATGACGATGCTGATGACATGCGTCAGCCAAAGGATATTATCGTTGACGATGGAGTGCTACTCTCAAGATGCTGACTATGACGATGGTGGTGACGAGAATGTGTTTCAAGACAGTGCTGATGACAATGGTGATGACGAGTCTGGTAGTCAGGATGCTGTCCATGACGATGCTGATGACACGCATCCGCGCGAAAGTACTATCGATGACAAGGAAGATGACGAGTGCTACTCTCGAGATGCTGTCGGGTTCAGTGGTGGTGACGAGAATGTGCCTCAAGACAGTGCCGATGACAATGGTGATGACGAGTATGGTGCTCGGGATACTGTCGATGACGATGCTGATGACATGTATCAGCCTGAACATACTATCTATGACGACGTAGATGACGAGTAGTACTCTCAGGACGCTGTCGATGACAGTGGTGGTGACGAGATGCATCGCTTGATGCGTCGGCGACGTCGGCGATGCATCGGCGACGTCGGCGCGGAGAAACGCAGGCTCCGCATCGAGCCGCATCGGCGATGCGACGCAATTTTCCGACCCCATCTGCTTGGACCCCATGTGGAAGACCAGAAGGTACCCATCCAGCTACTCCCCAGACCTCTCTTGGGGTGCGTTCGGACCAGGATTTCGAGGCGAATCCAGCCGTGACGACGAGGGCCTCCCAGGAGGCCGAGAAAGCGGAAGTGGACGCAAATTGCCCGCGATGGATTCCCAAACCAGCCCTGCCTCACGCAAGGGGGGGCCCGTCAAGGGCCCTTTCCGAGGCGGAGGAGGAGGAGGAGGAGGAGGAGGAGGAGGAGGAGGAGAAAGAGGAGGAGGAGGAGGTGGAGGAGGAGGAGGAAGAGAACGAGGACGAGGAGAAGGAGGAGGAGAAGGAGGAGGTGGAGGTGCTCCCGACGGCTCCTGGCGCCGAGGGTCCCTGGTGCTGCCAGCTTCCTCTGGCGGCTGGGCCCTGGGGGAAAGACCCCAAGAGCAAAAAGAAAAGCAAGCCACACGACCCCCTGCTCCAGGGGTCCAGTTCTTTTGGCCCGCCAGAAAAAAAAAAACTGCACGGTCTGATTCGGGGGTCCGTTTTTTTCCTGGGATCTTTCCTCCAGGGTCAGATCCTCCACGTGATGGTGAACATGTTGGGTGCTGTTCCCCAAGAGGAGGACATGCTGGGTGAAGAAGGAGGATGAGGAGATGGCCGACAACGCACAGCAGGAAAGTAAACGACGACGACGACAAAGATGACGACGACGACGACGACGACAAAGATGACGACGACAACGAAAACGACGACGCAACATCCCTTTGTGAAGAAAACCTTGAAAACGCAGGCCCCCGCTCAGGTTCGACCAGGCTCCTTGATGGCCTCCAAGGGGACCACGAGGACGCATCACTATCGATATCCTCTCGTTTTTTCGGTACTTCCTCTTACCATCGCGTCTGCGGCCAAAAGACGCGCACCCACTTCGAGAAGCCTCCCAAATCGTCCGGAGGGAGCCCAGGGAGCTCCGAAAAGTGCCCCTACGACGGCCCCAGACGCCGTCAGCGTCATCAAGCAAACAGCGCACCCTGAAGCAATGAGCAGCAGCAAGGGCACTCTGACCACTGGCATTCGTGGACTGTTGTCCGCGGGTCAGCCCAACTCAGCAACAATGCCGCGATCAGTGCGTGCGAGAAGAGCGGGCAGTGGCAGCGGGCAATGGCGCTGCTCAGCGAGATGAGGGAGGCGAAGCTGGAACCCGACGTCATCAGCTGCAACGCCGGGATCGGCGCTTGCGAAAAGGGCGGGCAGTGGCAGCGGGCAATGGCGCTGCTCAGTGAGATGAGAGGGGCGAAGCTGGAACCCGACGCCATCGGTTACTGCGCCGGGATCAGCGCCTGCCAGAAAAGCGGGCAGTGGCAGCGGGCCCTGGCGTTGCTCGACGAGATGCGGGAGATGAAGGTGTTGCCAGACGTCATCCACTACAGGCTCGCAGTCAATGCGTGCGAGAAGGGCGGACAGTGGCAGCAAGTTCTCTTCATGCTCAGGAGCATGTGCTTGAGAAGGCTCGATGCTGATTTTATTGCCTACGGGATTACAGCTGGCATGTGCGAGCAGGGCGGACACTGGAGGCAGGTGCTGTCATTACACAGGGAGGTGCGCGGCTTGCTCGCAATGGAATGATGCAATGTATGCTACAGTGTGTTCTCAAGGCGCGCCGCATAAAGCAAGCCTCTCAGCTGTAATGCTCGGATCAGCGAGTGCGACATCGGCGGGCAATGGCAGCGGGCTTTGGCGCTGCTGGGCAAGGGGTCGGAGGCGACGCCCGAACCCGACGACGTCATCTGCATTACAGTTCCCTGCGAAGCGCGTGCGAGGTTGGAACACTTTACCAGCCATCCCGTGATGTTGGGTCTTCGTTTTGAGGAGACAGCTCCCCGCGTTCCTCCTTCCTCTTCCTCAGTTCTCTCCCTCTCCTCCCTCCTGCCATCCCTGCTCCTGCTCCACCGAAGGCCCCTGCGGCAGGGCCCGCATGGCATACCCGCGCCCGGTTCAGCACACCCCTCACACATTCCGTGGCCCCTATACAGAGCACGGAAGGCCACAGCGGCAGGGTCCGCATGGCGTGCCCGCGCCCGATTCGGCCCACCATTCACACGTTTCGTGGCCCCATAGGGAGCTCCACCGAAGGCCCCAGCGGCAAGGTCCGCATGGCATACCCGCAACCGATTCAACACACCCCTCACATGTTTCGCGGCTGCATCGGGAGTTCCACCGAAGACCCCAGCAGCAGGGTCCGCATGGCGTACCCGCGCCCGATTCAGCACACCCCTCACACGCTTCGTGGCCCATTAGGGAGCTCCACCGATGGCCCCAGCGGGTGGGTCCGCATGGCATACCCGCAACTGATTCAGCCTCACACGTTCCGTGGCCCCGAAGGGAACTCCACCGAAGGCCCCAGCGGCAGGGTCCGCATGGCGCACCCGCACCTGATTGACCACATCCCTCAGACGCTTCGTGGCCCAAGAAGGAGCTCAGACTCGACAGCCCCGGCGGCGGGGTCCGCATGGCGAGCTTGCACCCGACTCAGCACTCCCCCTCACACGTTTCGTGGCACCATAGGGAGCCCCACCGAAGGCACCAGCGGCAGTGTCCGCATGGCGTACCCGCACCCGATGCGGCACACCCCTCACACGTTCCGTGGCCAAAAAAAAGAGCTTCACCGAAGGCCCCGGCGACAGGTTCTGCATGGCGCACCCGCACCTTCTGCGGCACACCCCCTGACACAATCCGTGGCCCCATCGGGAGCTCCACCGAAGGCCCCAGCGGCAGGGCCCGCATGGCGTACCCGCATCCGATTCGGCTCACCCCTCACACGTTTCGTGGTCCCAGGGAGCTCCACCGAAGGCCCCAGCGGCAGGGTCCGCATGGCGTACCCGATCCGATTCGGCTCACCCCGCACACGTGCCGTGGCCCCATGGGGAGCTCCATCCAAGGCCCGAGTGGCAGGGTCCGCATGGCGCACCCGCCCTATGTCGGCACAGCCCTCACTCTTGCTCCTTGCTTCTGTTCACTTGCTTCGCGGAGCTTCCTATGGTTGGGTCCTTTGCCAGGATGAATTGTCGCGGCGATTTGGGTCCAATGCGCGGTCGGGGCAGCCGAGAGACGCTGCGGGACCAAATTTGGCACAACAGGAACAGAAAAGGCACGGATGGTAGATGTTGAAACAGAGTGCTAGCTCCAAGGCCTCCGCCCCAAGAGGCCCCCGAGAAAGCTCGAAGAGGTTTCAGAGACTGCTTCCGTGCCCCGCAAGACGACCCTTGAGGTCGGATGACCCCCAAGAGGGTCGTCCACGGAGGTCCCCAGAGAGAGGCGAATCGTCAAAATCCACATGCTTAAATTGGCACAACAAGAGGCCCCAAACAAGGCCCTGAGAAGGCCCAAAGTGTCCCCCTGAGGCGCTGCATGGGCGATCCAGGAGTCATCATGCCTCGCTCCTTGCTCCTCGCTCCAGCCTCCTCGTTCCTCGTCGATTGCTCCTCGCTCCTCGCCTCTCTCTCCTCGCTCTGTGTTGCTCTGTCTTCGTTCCTCATCGCGTTCCATGTCCCTCGCTCTTCCCTCGTGTCTGCTCGCACGTCCCCTCCCCCCCGACCCTCTTTCGCTCTTCCATATTGCTCCTTGCGTAGCGTTTCTCCCTCCTCAGTCCTCTCACGAGCAGCATACCGCGTCAGAAGCCATACGGTGCGCCGAACATGACCGTGCAGCATCAGGCACCAACAGCCGACATCGGCAGCAGGAAGCATGCAGCAACAGCGGGAGCGCACAATTGCGGCAAGCGGCATCATACAGCAGACAGGGACACCTTGCAGCAACCAGCAGCAAGCAGAACTGGCAATCTGCAGCACCCTTCAGGCACAAGCAGTAACAGCAATCAGCAGCGGCAAGCATTTCCAGTAGCACGCACCAGCGACAGCAGCCACTAGAACAGTAGCAGGCACGCAGCATCAACCACCACCAATGAGCAGCAGCACGCATCATCGCCAAGTCGCATCAAGCAGCAGCCCACAAAGGCCAACAACAGCCTGCAGTGGCAAGGCCTCACAAAATGTACGTTTAGACTTGCAGCAAACAGCACCAAGCATCAGGAAGCGGCTGGACGCGGCAGCGAGCGAACGGGCAAACAACACATATCTAACATAGGTAGCAGTGGACCTGGCTAAAGTGTATCCGGTTTCCAGGCCGACTAGCAACCACGCAAGCAGAGCAGCAGGCGATCATACAGTGGAGGCCCATGCCAAGAAACACCCTGCTTGCCTCCAGGGTGCCCTGGGTTTTGCTGGGTTTCGATAGTGTTGCTGTGAAAGCGCGATGCTCCCACACCAAACATCAATGGACGTCCTGGGATCTCAGGGTTGGGTTTCTTGTGGAAGGTTTCTTGTGTACTGGGCTCGACAGTACAAGCCAGCAAGCGACCCTATCATTTGCATGCGACCAAGTCTTTCGTAATCGATCGTCTACGGGCCAGCCCTAGTATTTACATATATATATATATATATATATATATATATATATATATATGTGTGTTTGTATGTCTGTACTGTTAGTTCCGAGACAGCATGTCTGGGAGGTTGCTGCACATGGCTTGTAAGAAGGGGTGGGGAGTCCTTACCAGCTCTGGAATCAATGACTTCATGGTCGTGGTCTCCTGTGAGGTATTCCGAGGGTGTGCGTTGCTGGCCCCGGAATTGGTGACTTCATGGTCTCCCAAATGGCGCTAGCATGTTTTAGTCTACTCTCTATATTGTTATTGCCCCTCGCTAGCTTCAATATGCAATTCCCAAACAGTGCTTTCAGCAGTTAGGGGTTCTTACTTGCGTTTGCCAATTTGGGGTGATTGCCGCCCGTGCCGCCCGTCGCCGTCGCCGCCCGTCGGGGTGATTGCCGCCCGTCGCCGCCCGTGCCGCCCGTCGCGGCCCGTCGCCATCGCCGCCCGTCGCCGCCGCCGCCCGTCGGGGTGATCGACGCCCGTCGCCGTTCGTGTCGCCGTCGCAGCCCGTATATTGCACCGCATAGATGGCATCACATAGGTTACATTGATACATTGCGCCACATAGATTGCACCGCATCGGCTGCACTACATAGTCTGCATCGTATAGATGGCACCAATGGCACCACATATATTGCACCGCATAGGCTGCATTACATAGGCTGCATCGCATACATTGCACCACATGGTTTGCACCGCGTATGTTGCATTACAGATGCTGCATCTTATACAGTGCACTACATAGATTGAACCGCATAGACTGCATTACACAGGTTGTATCGCATACGTTGCACCACATAGGTTGCACCGCATAGGCTGCATTACATAGGCTGCATCGCATACAGTGCACCACATAGATTGCACAGCATTGGCTGTATTACAAATGTGGAATCGCATACATTGCACCACATACATATTGCACCGTATAGATTGCATTACACAGCTCACATCGCATACACTGCACCACATAGATTGCACCGCATCGATTGCACTACAAAGGCTGCCTCCCATACAGTGCACCACATGTATTGCATAGGCTGCAAGCGCCTGCTGTTTGGGGTCCACGCTTGCTAACATGTTCTATCTATAATGTTCCTTTCAGTGACTTAGGGAGTTGTTTAGGATATGCTGCCGCCAGGGGTGTAATGAACATTGCCTATTACCACGCGGGCCAATCAACGGCGGCATTCCTGCAAAAGGGCAGTCTCATGCACCGCGTCCGCAGGCTTGTGGACGCGCTGGAGGATTTCAGAGCATGTTGTTGGCGATTGTTGCCTGCTGTGCCCTCGGTGCGGCAGCGCCGACAAGAGCTAGGAGCTTGGAGGGTTGGATGCCTAGCTCCGGAGCACCTGGTGGAGGAGGCTCAGGGTGCTCATCGCGAGGATAGCCATGACTGGTGATAGCTACGGGGCCTGACTCCTGCCTCCCATCGCCGTTCCTGCTGCAGGGAATGGCCCTCGCAGGACCCTGCTTGGTCGGGAGAGCCCGCCCCTGAAGGCCACCTTGTGGATGCTGACGGAAAGGGGGGGGGAGCTTTTTGAAGCCCCCAGGCCGCGAAGATGCATGCTGGCGCGGCTCAGCTTGGACCCCCGGTGGTAATTGATACAGGCGCCGTAGGGTCCGAAGCGGCCCCCTCATCGGTAGGCCTCGGACCATCAACAGGGCCGAGCTGCACGTTTCCTTGGATTGCCTCTCGGTGCGCTGTTCTGCGGTGCCTGAGGCCGACTGCTCGCTCTTCAAGGCGCAGGCTCTCTACGTTTAAGTCGGGCTTGTCCCTCTACAGGGGGGGGGATATTCCCAAATAGTCAAAAAATACTCTTTGCACGATTTTTGATTTTTTGTTACCATTTGGGGGGCGTGTTTGAAGTATGTGTTATTATTGTTCCTAAAATCCCCATGTAGGGGGACAGGTCCGACCTAATTCTCTGTCTGTGGCCTCCTCCCCGTTTCCTCCTCTGCGGCTGCCCTCCTCTTGTCCATCTGTTTTGGTGTGCCCATAGCCTGGCGCGGCTCGCCCGCTGTTTGAACGCGTTAGCGACCGCTCTTGCTGCTGACAAAAAAGTGTCTCTTGATTGCCTCCTCGTATCGAGTACCGGCGCGAAGGCGCCAGCGCGTGCAGAAGATGTGCCAAGCTGTCGCGAGGGAGCATGCTCGAGGGCAGCTTTGATAATTGGGGAAGGCTCCAGGCATTCCTCCGCTTGCGCGTTGCCCAGAAATCCTTGGTACCAGGTGGCTCGAACGCAGTGCGCGCGTTCATCCGTTCGTGCGCGTTTCCTTATCTGGTGGCTTGGATGGAGCGCGCGCGTTCCTCCGTTCGTGCGCGCTCCGTTCGAGCCACCATACGGAATCAAACAACAGCCAGCACAGGCATGTGGGAGCTGTGACGTGTGGCAATCGACGATGCTGACAGATCCGCCAGCTGCAAGGCAGCACAG